CCCCTCCCTTGGTTTTGTTAGCCGCCCTGAGTCCCTCGGGAATAGGGCGGCATACAAGTTGAATAAAACCTTCAAACCTTCAAACATTTTTCAGGGGAAAATTTCTCTTCAGATTAGGTTGCATTCACACTTGCCTATTCATCAGGACTTAGACAGATGTAATGTGGATGGTTACAGCCATTAATGAAAGGGCAACTGATATTTGGCATGGAAGGAAAGATTAAAAGGACTCGTATCTTATGCAGGCACTTGGGGAAGAACAGCTGCAAACCTGGGCTTTTAATTAAGCTCTCCCTTATGTAGTTTCCTAATGGCAAAAGACTTTACTCTTGATTGTATGTCATAATGATTCTACTACGACATTTTACTTGGGTGATTTCAAAAATTACTCTTAATAAAGACATGCATAAACTGCTTGTTTCCAAAATCATAGAATTACTTTTGAACAAAGAAAATGACAAAGGTTGATTTTGTTCTTTGATCTTTTCTATTATATGTATTACAAGTGGACTAATGAATCTAAAGTGGCCTCAGCTCTATGTAGTCATTTCCATAATCCCAGATAACCATTGACCATTGGAAAAAATGTGCCGACTGGGGATTATGGAAGTGGATTTCCACTTGTTTGAAGGGCAAGAAAAGATGACTTAGAGATTCCTTGCTCCTGAGACACAAGGTAGTCTATGCGCTATCGATTTTAGTAACCCACAAATAAACCATGGCTAAATCAAAATTAAAATAGACCATATAAGTCCTCTATCACAGTGATGGCTAACCTTTTACGTCACCGTGTGTCAACCTGTGTGCTGGAAATGACATGCAAAGCCATCCTGCCTGGACTGTGCAGCCTTGCTGGCCTTTGCTCACACGAGAGTGCTAAAACCTGGAAGAGCAGCATACATGCGCTGGCACCCAAACTTCTGGTTTCTGGCGTAGGTGTGCGCCTGACAAACAGCTGCCCGTTGCACATATGCGTGACAGAAACCCGGAAGTTCGGGTGCCGGCACGCGCATGCACGCCGAAATGCTGTTCTTTTGGGTTATGGCATGCGTGCACAAGAATGCCAGCTGACTGGTGTGTGTGTGCGCAAAGGACCGCCAAACAGGAGCTAGTGAGGCTACGTATCCTGCACGGAATGGCTCTGTGTGCCACTTCTGGCACATGTGCCATAGGTTTGCCACCATGGCTATATAACTTGTTCAATGAATCAGGTTCAAAACAAATCAGGATTTAGCATGACATATTAACCCAATGCATGTTTTCTTTGATTTTAAAGAGAGTTTAAAAATCAAGAGGACTCAATGACTATGAATGGTATAGAAATACCCAGGACTGGTATATTGTTATTTTTACCATGGTAAACACAAGATAAATACCATTTTAATAACCTCTCATATGTATTTAGAAAAAATGTAGTACAGATAATATAACAATAACCCATATAACCTTATGTTGCCTCCTGAAACACTAGTGTGTGCATTATGCAGCAACAAGTAACAGGTGGCATCGTTGTTTAGTGTTTAGTATTCTATTACAATATTTTAAAAAATGCTTTGAATCATTAAACTTACATTGCTGATTCCTCCCCTTTTATTGTTACAAAATAGAGTTGGAAAAGTAATTATTATAAAACACCAAGAAGAAATGATTGGCAAGGAATAGAAAGGAAAAGAGGAATGGATGAATAACAAGATTAGCAATAGAACAAGCTATTTAAATTGGACAAAACAAACAGAATGCAGAAGCTAGCAGAACTAAGCCGCACAGTAGTAAAGGATTCAAAATGCTACTATTGGGAGACCAGCTAACTCATTTCTCTTCACACAAATTCTTCTGAGAAGATAAAGATAAAATCCCTTCAAGTTTGAGTTTGGCCTCTGGACACTACTATGTACCTATTTTGAGAACATGACAGAGCCCGCTCCACCCACTCTAGTGGTCCCTTATCCCACATAATAACGAGATCTAATAAGTGAAGCTTTTCAAGATTAGCCGAGCTGATCAATTGTTGAGAACAAAATCTTTGCAGCTGCTTTTGTGTTCCCTTTTGCAGGAGTCTAAGGAATCAAATTGTGTTTGAAGCTTTCTAAAGATCCTGGTTCTGGCTAGGACCACTTCACGTCGATCCTGCTTTACCTTGAAACAGTGAAGACCATCCAAATTTAGTATATACTCCTGCTATTTAGAGGTAGCACCGTGTCATTTCCTAAGGCTTTCATGTTCTTCCCGGAGCTCCTTGTTTTCATCACTCATTTTGATTTAAGACCCTTTAAGATTCTCAGATGCAATATATTAAATTCTGCCACCTCTCTTTTAAATTCCTTGGATTAATCAAAACACATAATATATTACTCTCCCCCACCTTACATTAATGCTGATCTTTAAACCCAACAGTATAATTTGTGAAGAACCCCCCCAAAAAAAAATTTGATGGGCATGCTGTGGGAATTCCCGGCTCTTAGGAGACCTTCTCAGCTCTTCTTCCAGATTGTAGCAACAAATAAAATTTCACAAAGTGTCACATACCAATATAACAAATACAGATCTGATAAATTTGAAACTCAGGCTCTCTCAAGCAAAATAGCAAAGTTCTACTAATAAGCGCTTCTTTTATATACAGAAGGTCCAAAAAACCATAAAATATTAAACCTTTACAAACAAATTGGCTTTAAATTACATTAAAAGGAGAAAAAACGTCTCTGTAAAATACGCAGTCATACAGGTAGTCCTCGACTTACAATTGTTCATTTAGTGACCGTTCAAAGTTACAACAGCACTGAAAAGAGTGACTCATGACAATTTTTCGCACTTATGACAGTTGCAGAATCCCCATGGTCACGTCATCAAAATTCAGATGCTTGGCAACTGACTTATATTTATGACTGTTGCAGCATTCCAGGGTCATGGGTTCACGTTTAGTGACCTTCTGACAAATAAAGTCAATGCATTAGCGAGATTCACTTAACAACTAGGTTACTAACTTAACCACTGCAGTGATTCACTTAACAGCTGTGGAAAGAAAGGCTGTAAAATGGGGCAAAAGTCATTTAACAAATGTCTCATTTAGCAACAGAAGCTTTGGGCTCAATTGTGGTCATAATTTGAGAACTTCTAGTACTTCATCATCTTCCGTTTCACAATACATAGGTTGTATTCCTCAGTCACTGAGTACAACTGCCACATTTCATTTGTGTTGGCTAGAACTGTCTGGTACTCTAAATGCATTATTTTGCAAAGCTATTTGAGTGGGTTTATCAAGAGAGGCTAACAGCTCTCATGAGTACTGAAAGTGGCAGAGATAAATAACATGCTACTCTAGTAGGTAATGGCCCAAATAATGCTGAAGCACACCAGAAGTAGCCAATTATCTTTTGTCTAAATGTTGCATTTTGTTACCTATTTACAATGTTTGGAGAGGATATTAGAGCATTACAGGGACATGGTGATAATGTGTAGCATAGTGAGAGGGGTTGAGATGGATTTTTTTTTCTTGCTTTAAGGGATGTTTGCAAATTTGAAAGGTTTATTTTCACTGATCATAAATGTGACAAATAGGTGTACCAAGCCTTATTTTGGACAAATACTCTCAACCAATCCATCAAAGAAAAAGCCTCCGAAACGTGCAAATTTTTGGTGATGGATCTTGGAAGGTTCTGAAGTTGCAAAATGGTTTCTTATGGAATCAAATATTGAATAAAGTCTCTGCCACCTAAATCAAATTGAAGGAGAATATCCAATTACTTCAGGGTGTTGTGGCCCATGAGCAGCCAGCAGAGCTGGCAGCAGATTCGGACAGTGAGGAGGTTGGGAAGGAACATGGGCCAGTCCTGGAGTCTGGGGAAGGCTCTGATGAGGGCTGTGTGTCAGAGGCAGAGAGGGGGCCAGAGCCTTATAGCAGTTATCAGCTGCCTTCAGAGTCAGACATCAGTAAGGCAGATGAACAGCTGGAGCCTGTTCCCAGTGTGCGCATGCGTAGAGTTGCTAGACAGGGAGCAGTAAAGAACGGGTCGACGTGGGAGTAAGGCCACAGGTGGATGACGAATGGCCCCTCCCTGAAGAAATGAAAGAGAAGCGAAAGGGGAATGGAGTTTGCAGGAGACAATTAGTTCGCTTAATGGGCTCATGACTCTGTGAGACTCCTTGCCAAGTTTTGCAGATATTGTCCTGGCAGCTCTCCAAGCCAGATAAGGTCTGTGACTATAAATCCTCCTTTGCTGTACGTGAATGAGCAGAATTCGCAGTAAATTAATAAAAGAGGTTTTTGTCAGGATTAGGAGTTTGCTTCATGCTCTTGGGAAGCCTAGGTCAGACCACAGGGGTGTCAAACTTGTGATGACACATTGTTACCACATGACATACTGCAATTTCATCCCACTTGTTAAACTGGGGGTGGGCGTGGCCAGCACGTGACGCATCCGGCCCATGGGCTGCGAGTTTCACACCCTGAGTTACTGGCACTCCTTGGGCAAATGTCTATGTATCCTAGAACTTGAGTCTTAAGCACTGTCCTTTATTGCTGAAGTTTATCTCCTGCAATTCATGCTAATATCTAAAATTGAGCTCTCTCTGCTTTTGGGAAGCGGACTGTGGTTGTGCCAAGTGTATTTCCATGCCACATCTATTTTTCCTCATGATTTGGAAAATAATTCTTCCTAATTAGAATGTAAGACCCCATTGTAGATTAGGACAGACAAATTACGCTTAAAATATTCTGCAGCTCTGCAAGATTAGGGGTAATTCATTATTTCACAGTCTCTAAAATGCATGCACGAAGCATTTTAAAACATTTACAACACATGTAAATGCAATGACTCACAAGTTAAAAAGCCCATAGGACTGGAAATTGAACATTTAATACTGCAACGAGATAGCATCTTCTACAGCTCACAAGGACAGTCAGGTTGTTTTGTTGCACTCACAAACCTAGCCATCATCTAAACAATACCCCACAGTAATGAGTGACTTTCATCGTCTTATAGCCTGAAAGGATGCAAAGTGTTGAAACAAGGATTGGATGATATCCTGGGCAATTGGGGGTGATGAAGTAATTCTAAATTTCTTGAACTGTTGGAACACACTGGAAACGGTGCTAGCAACTTTAAGATGCAGAGAAGAGAACTTTTGCCCAGGACTTTTAGCAATTATATTTGACTTGGAGAGAACACTGTTCAAAATGTGAAAATTGATGGAAAGATGAAATAAATGTTAAGAAGGTCAATTATAAAAAAAATCTTTAGCTGTTATTTGCAATGTTGCTGGAAGATATTTTGCTAATAATTAAAAGATACCATCAATTCCAAGAGGATTCCACACTGCAGAAGGGAGCTGATGTGTTGCAGATGATGAAACACACATTGAAATGCAGATCATATGAATAACATGCTTGCATACAATCACAAGATGCAAGTAGGAAAGCCCAGGGAGTTACATTGTGACTTAATTGGAATGTACTGTATTTTTTGTCATTTTCCATGACATAGCAATTTGTATTGGATACCTATGGATATCAATGTGATTAACAGAGTTAAGAAAGCTATCACACAAGCTAATCTGAAGATCTAGTGTGATACAGTGAAAAGCACGTGTTGACATTTTTTCTGTTTGAATGCAAGCCAGACATTTGTATGTCTATGAAAACAACAAATGGGAAGACCTGCTCATTCTGGTCCATTTCATGAATATGTTCTGTATCTGCTGTACAGTTGATGGGGCAGATAATCAGATGCAGAACGATTAAAAAATGGCAACAACTGCTGTGTCTCATGCTTAATTAGCAGTCTTAATGTGTTGTAGTGAATTTCAGAGTTGTATCTTGACAGTTTGGAGCCCCTGTACTCAAAGTGAGGCTTTTCCTCACTTAAGACTGCAAACAGTGGAGATGTTAAACAATCTCAGGTTTTCAGAAGGACAGTAGCAATTCATCTACCTCAGCGTTAAAATCATGTTATCCTCCTAGAACACTTGCATGATACAAATCAGGTACATTGAGTTGTGAGCCACCCCAAAGTCATTTGCTGAGATGGGAGGATAGATAAACAAACAAACAAATAATAAATAAACAAATAAATAAATATTAGATTAATCTTAATTCCAAAGAACAGATCCACCCCACATATTGTTGTTTCATAAGCTGTAGATTCAGAGCAATTATTTAAGTAACATTGAAAACATGACACATTTTTTTTGCTGCTCATTTCAGTGGGTTACAAATTGTTCTTAATCGCACCTGTTTTACATAGTTTACAATGGAGATTCCAGTTTATCCCATGGCACTAAGTCACAAAGTTAATGTAAACAAGGCTCTGTCTTTGCCTTTTCCAAAACACACACACAAAAAACCCCGGGTTGGATCAAAAGAAGGTTGATGATAATAGGCAAGATATATACACATGCAGTTAGTGCTCCCTATTTAAAGCATGGTTGCTTTCCAGATGTTTGATCCTAAGGCAGAATAGCATTGTCTTATTTCTTGGCTACGTGACTTTGTCTCACATCTCTTATAAATGCATGAAAGGCTTTTAGGAGTACTCGTCCGCTGATGTATATGGAGAATTGATGTAACTTGACACTGCTGAACTAGCTTTGGAACTCCTGCATGAATACCCATTTGTGTTGGCTTCTTGTGCTCCTTTCTTGCGCATGGATTTGCTGCTTTCACCATCACCAGATTCAAACACTACCGACATGCTGGATTCCATCCTGGTAACGGTGAATAAACTGCTTTGCCTGGTAGGATGGAATCTCGTTGTCTTAAGCTCCAGTTCATCATAACTAGATACTTCAATGAAAGGACACCATTGAAAAGCTCTCTTGAAACCAGCCCGGAACCTGAAAAACACATGCATATATAGTACATACATACATACCACATACATAGGGTGTGTACTTGATATTTGAGATATCTCATAGAAAACATTTTTTTGAAAGAGGCGAGTTAATCAAATATACATTTCTAGATATCTGAGTTTAGTTCTGGGCTTCAGGAATGTTTCAGGAATGTATACAAACTGAAGTATGTCCAGCATGAAAAAGGAATATGATAGAGATTGTCAATTGCGGAATGGTTTAGAGATATTAAACCTAGAGGGGGAAAAAAATTAAAAGGGGAACATGATAGTGGCCTTTAAACATCAGAAGACGGAAGCAACTTGCTCTTGATTACTCCAGAAGGTAGAATTAGAGCTAATGGATAAAAACTGTAATGAACTTGGCTCAACAAAAGAAGAAACTTTCTAATTGTAACAGATGCATAGAGACTTCTTAATAGCAGGATTGAAAAAAAGGACTGGATTCCCATCTGCTGAAACTACTAGAAACCTAATAAAACAGAATGCAAATCCAGCTGTATCTCTGCATCTAATTTCAAAGTGAGTGTCAAACTGTGCTGCCCAGCTATCAGGGGCTAATTCACAATTTCCTTAATGCACAACGTCATCAGAAGAGCGGAAATAATCATCTGAAAAGTTATGGGTTAGATATTTTAGCAGCCCCTCCTCCCTTTCAGCTGGTTAATTTAGAGCTGGTTTCCATATACGAGGGATTGGCAACCTGCGGCTCTGGAGCTGCATGTGGCTCTTTCATCCCTCTGTTGTGGCTCCCTGTCACCGGTTGGCTCCACAATGAATAGGGCTTTCAGTTAGGAGAGGTAGAGGAAAAAGGATGCCGTGCTAGGAGGAGGCTCTATGGTGGGGGGAATTGGACTTCTGGTTGGCTCCAGAATTGAATGTGGGGCTTCCAGTTATGACCTTTGTGACTCTTTGAGTGTTTAAGGTGTATATATTCTGATATATACAGAATAGTAGACATGATCTAAGATTAATATTGTTCTTACATGGTATTTCACACGTGGTCCTAATGATTATCTTTGTAACAGGAAACCTGGTTGTTAGTGTAGGGGTGGCTAAATTAAACTACAACTGTGCATATGATCTTACTTTAGTTTTTCTTTACTTTACGAACAGTACCTGTCAAGTTTGTAGATACAAAGACTGGTTGCAAAGTATTTTTTATCACCATTGCTAAACGTGGCAGTCGCTAAACAAGGACTACCTGTATTTTCTGTGGATTAAAAGCCCTTCATATAGGAAACAAAAGGGGCAAAACTTCTTGGATTTGTACAGACATGTACTTTCTTATACTTTTGTATGTGTGCAGAATCACAAAATGCCATTGCTCCGTCCAAAAAAAGTAATACAATTGAGGAACCATGTTTATAACTTGTAGCCTTGCCCTCATTATAAAACATCCAACACTTATTTCAAAATATGATCAAGCATTCCTGATGAATTAGGCCCTTTCTGCTAGCAGGTCCCATTTGTGTCCTAAATAACTACCTTGAAATACCACTTCAGAGACTGGATAATTCTGACTACAATTTGTTTTTAAAAAGAACATAATTTGCAGTCCCTGACTAATATGTGGATCAGGTGAGTGGTACATACAAGTAATAAATAAATAAATAAAAATGTGGATGAGAAAGCAGTTCAAACTGAATGCTTTCTGGAATTTTGCAGTGGTAATTATAAAAGTGCCTATCTTGAAGAGGAATGTGTAGAAAATGTAATGTTTTAGCAGTAATTTTGAAAAAGATACTTTTAAAGGGAAGTATTTAAAATACACACAGACTGAGAGTAGATGACAATATAACAAGTTGAGTAAATCAAAATAAAACTTCATGTGTATAGTTTGAAAGCAAATATTGAGTGGTTGAAGTTTGTTAAATGAAAATTATAAGAATGTTTATGGAATGGACGTAAACCAAACCTGAACACAACAAACACTGACTCATCCATTTCAATTACCGCTGAGCTACAGCTCAGTTGATTCAACTCATGCCTAATTGTAGCTTGAATTTGCAAAGCAGTATTGCAAATAACACCGCGGAATACAAAAAAAGCACGGAAAGGCAGCTCTCTTTAGATAAATTACTTGCAATATAAATTCATCGTGATTTTTTTGGGATAAATAATAAATGTTTCAATACATTTTCAGTTTGGATGGGAAGGCAGAAAGAACAACACAGCAGCATTTCTGTGCCAGATGCAAATCTTGATGGGATTATGTGGGTGTTAAATAAGATTGCAACAGGCAGGTGTTCGAACAAGATGCTGAAGGGCTGTGCTTGTTGTGTTTCTGCTATCATCTAAAAATATTTGCATATATATGGCAGGAATTAATGTCCCCTTTGAAATGTCTATCAAAATGGAATTAGGTTCTGATTTTTGTTTGTGTATCAATTTTGCTTGTATTGCACAGACAAGTCGCCTATTCCCATCTGTATTTTTGAATTTTGCTGGCTCTCAGGTTGGGTATCATGTAATATTAGACAGATTCTCTCAGACAGCATCTTCTACTTAAAACATCTGACCAAAAGAATCACAAGATTGATGAGAAGTCTTATATCCCTTTCATATGTGAATTGTTTTCCATTTATGTTTTATTTATATCACATATAAATTTAATGCAATTGTATTTATGTGTTGTAAGCATTTGCTGCTTCATGTAAGAGTTACAGATTCAAGTAGCATTTTTAAAAGTAATCAGATAACATTGGCTTTGTACAAGACAGAGAAAATGCCTTGTCACTACCTTATTTTTTTAATATTGATTTTGATATAATATGCCTGTGCCAGTAAATAAATATTCTCGTATCTATTGTATGTTTTCCTATTGGTTCAAATTTCGTTTATGAAATTCAATTTGGTTTAAACATTATTTCACATCTACCTGACCCATCAAAGCGGGGAGGCAGGGAATGCTGTGGGTCCCATCCCGGAGGGAACTACATCTGGTGGGGCCCAGAAGAACGGCCTTCTCTGTGGTGGCTCCCTCTCTCTGGAACATCATTCCCCCTGAGATTAGAATGGCCCCCACTCTAACACTCTTTTGGAAGGCGCTGAAGACCTGGTTCTGCCAGTGGACCTGGGGAACCCAGAGTGGGATGGAGGCCATTAAATGGCTTGTGTGATCTGCTGTCGCTGAGGTGGGAGATGATTTCATTATATTAATTTATTGGAGTCTTTTTATTAGTTTTACTGTTTTAAATGGGGTTTTATACTTTGTAAGCTGCCTTGAGTCGCCACGGGCGAATAGGCAGCAATATAAATTCAATGATAAATAAATTATAACATTTCAAAGGAGAGAATTTCAAGTTTCGTTAGGTCATATTGTACTTTAGAGTTTACAGAAAAGTAAAATCAGCCTTTCTTCCAACTTTGCGGGATCTTACTTTTTTCTTGTGAGGTTGGAAGGTCTGATTTTATCTTTTTTTTTAGCCCCATGAACTTTTTGGGCTTTCCTACATGTTTTTTCATTTGCAACCCAGCTTTTCAATTTCTCCAGTGAAAGAAAAGTATCTTGAGCTGTGGAGAGAAACACCCTGGAGCTGGAAAGCAGGTTTGTTTGGAAACCCCTCTTGCAATTTTTAAGGAGTGCCTTTGGCAAGCGAGGGAAGTGGGGGGATGGTGTGCCAAGCTCTGCAATTCTGTGGTGGCACAATTTGTTAAATCCAGACAGGTTTGGCATTCCAGCAAACAGCTGGGCACTCGCATGTGAGAGAGTTTGTAGCTCAGCAGGGAAGGGGAGAGGCCAGCCTGGCGCGTCTCCACCTGTCTGTATAAGGGCTCTGGCACCCAAAGGAGCATGGGCAGCACAGGGCTCTCAGGCACGGCACCAAAGGAGCATATTGCAGCATCTCTGGCATCATTTGTAAGTGTGAACGACTGCTGTGATGCTGCAAAAGATGTAACTTTGGGACTAGGTTGTAAGTACTTTTGGCAGGGATTTGCAACTTCGAATGATCACTAAGTGAACTGTCGTAACAGGAGGATTACCTGTAAAAGGTGACAAAAAGGAAGGAAATGAATATAGATTGAAGAATGTCAATAGAAGTGTATATAAGGAGGACACAGAATATTATTTGATATGGGACAGATTTTATGAGTGGTTAGAGACAAGAGGTAGAAATTAGATGAAGAAAGATCATTGCTATGTATGAATTAAATATAAAGATTCATAATTATAAATATGCCAATATAATCAACAGAAGTATAAATAAGCCAATGTTAAGAGAAATTTAGGTAAAACTGTATGTACGTATGTATGTAGGAATAAAATAATAATAACAATAAAAAGAAATGCGTATTTCTAAACAACTGCTCTAAGGAATTGGGTAAATATTTTTTTTTTATAATGAAGAGATCTATAGTACTCTTTTTCCTTCTCTCTTGATTTCCAGGATGAACAATGAAACAATGAAATTCATTTAATATAGAAGAATGAAAAAAGAATATTTTCAGGCTTCCCAACTCTAAATAGATTATTCTTAAATTACAACCTTACCTTTTATTGAGACAACAGTAGATAATGGGATTATACATAGTAGAACTCATAGCCAGCCAAAACGTTGCTAGGTAGATCTGCTGAATGTATTTCCACCGATTCCAATTTTCATAGATTCCAGTAAGAATGAAGTAAATGTGATATGGCAACCAGCAGATGGCAAATGTCAATACAACCACAATCATCATTTTTACAACCTGGAAGCAAACAGATGGAGGGGGGGGGGAAAGAGGATTTTCCTAATTTTTACAACTCTGTAGTCTGTAAGTGCCTTTTAATATTACCAACACTAAACCCTAGGCTGCTATGGCTGGAATATTAAATTTATTACGATAGTTAAAAATTTGGAAAAACAAAAACAGAATGATATAAAAGGAATTAATTTATTTTGACATTTCCCCCTTTGCTTTGCACAGATAACAGAGAGTATTTCGATATGGATTTGAGCCTTCTGCACTTTACCTATGGGCTGAATGATTAAGTCTGACATCTGGCTAGATAGCTGTTGTGCTTTGCAGGATAGCTGAATCAAATAGCCATTGGTATAAAATGAACAAATAAAATAGCAGCTTAACATATGGCACCACAGATGACATCTCTTGGGAATATTCAGATAGATGGGAAATTCCAATAAAAGAAATAATGTTGCTTAGAGTTGAACTATAGAATTCTGGGTGTTCTCTGAGCTTGGTTGTTCATTTGCTGACATTTCATTATCCAACTAGGTAACATCATAAGTGTGAATGAGTATGAGGCTTTCTTCCTGTTTATATACAGTAGTTTGCCCTGCCAGTTTTGGAGGGAGTGTGGCTTTCTTCTGGGTAGTTCCTTGATTAGAAAATATTGTTTTCTGCTTGATTGTTTGTCTGGTGCTAATCTTTGCTTATCTGAGTGTTGGCGGCTGGAAAGGACGAGTTCTGATCTTTTTGTTGCTTAGCTTTTTATTGTCTCTTTTGAATGGTATATAAATATGCTTTAGCTTAGTGCGTCTATTGGTGTCTGATTTGTCAGAAATGTCCAAAAATCCTCTGGTATTTTTGGATTTAGATTTGTCTAGGATCAGTCTCCAAAAATTGAAGAAGAAGAAAAAAGATGCTATTAGTTTCCCAGCTGAAACTGTGGCTGCTCATATGTTGTGAGATTAAATAATTTTTCTTGTGTTTTTAGGACTGCAAGTTGATATTCATGGATACGTTCATGGATGTGCTAGTTAGCATTCATGGAAGTTTTCTGCCTATGTAGTGGTTGTTACAGTCCTTCTGCTGTATATTGTAGTTTAAATATAAATAAAACAAATCTAAAACAAATCTAAACTGTTTTTTTTTAATAGGCAACTAGTTTTTTTCCGTTTGCTTAGGATGTTTTGAAAGGTGTCAGTTTGTGTGCTACAGTGATATCATGTGGTTGTGGTTGTTGGTTGTTTCTGAAATGTTTTTATTTGTTGTAGCGTTATCATTTTCATACTTTGTATTGGTTGTGCCATAAAAATGTAATCCCTAAAATAAGTTACTCACAATTGAAAAACAAAGACAAGGGCTCCAGTTCCAGCCTCACCCACTCAACTATCAAAAGATTGCACACCTCTTAAGGAAAACACTTAGTAATCAGTGATTAAAATCTTTGAAAGAACCCCATTTCTCTCTCTGGCATGTTTCTTTGGTTGATACCTGATGGACTTGTGGCTTCTTTCTGCCCAATACTAACATTGATGTTCAGTGGTGGGTTTCAAATTTTTTTAGAACCTCTTCTGTAGGTGTGGCCTGCTTTGTGGGAATGGTTTGCTGGTCATGTGACTGGGTGGAAGTAGCTTGCCAGTCATGTGACTAAGTGGGAGTGGCTTGGCAGCCATGTGACTCACTTAACAACGCAAAACTCACTTAACAACGCTCTTGCTTAGCAACCAAAATGTTGGCTCAGAAACTCTGGCATTTGAAGCACGCAAATTTTAAAGCTGTCAAGTTACAAGACCCTTGCACCCCTAACCCTTTAGAAAAAACCCCCAGGGGTGTTCAAACTTGACAGCTTTAAGACTTGTGGACTTCAACTCCCAGAATTCCTCCTCTCACTCTTCATCTTGCTGATGTGCGGACGGGCAGGGGGAGGGAGCTGGAACAGGTTCTAAATGGCACTGTAGATTTGTGGAACCTCTTCTATAGAAGAGGTTAGAACTGGAAGGAGCCCACCCCTGTTGATGTTTGCTCCCATCTAGTTTCCCCATTTGTATTGTCTATCAGTTCCATACAGAACTGTAGGATGAAAGGTTTCCACAACTCTAATTTTCTATCTTTTTTTTAACAGATTCCACAGGCGTGGGCAGCTGGGGGCTCACACGAGTTTGGGCGATCCTCTAGCTAGGATTCTGCCTGGTTGGGCAAACCCTCAAATGCCATGCCTGGCTGGCCACACCCACACCTCCCTGCCCCTTCCACCCCTTCCCTCCCCTCTCTGGAGTCTCCACATGGCCCATTCATCATGCCAGGTAAGTTCAGGGCCCGCACAGAGGCCCAAGGTGGGGGAAAACAGGCCTACTGGAGGTTCCAGAAGTCCAAAAACAGGCCTGTTTCCAGCCTCACAAGGGCCTCCGAAGCAGTTTTCGGTCTCTCAGAGGCTCAAGGAAAGCCTCTGAAACCTGGGGAGGGTGAAAAACGCTTCCCCTTTGGTGCAGGAGGCTGACTAGGCCACACCCACCATGGCCAAACCCACCAGGGGCCACACCCACCAAGCAACGGGGCAGCGAACCCATTGCAGCAATTTTTGAAACCCACTCCTGGGTATCCAGACTGCTTTGCACCACTGCAGAATCAGCCATTTGCTTCTATCACACTTGTTTTGTGCATTCATTGCAATCATTTTCACTACAATCATTTTTAAGGTGTAGTTGGAGCCCAACAAACCTGAAGGACCGTGAGGTGGGAGGGAAAGGTTACATTATATGTGTGTTCTGCATTCCCTTGCACTTCCTTGGCTATCCCAATACTTATTTATTTAGTATAAATGAATATTTATTTATTCATTTGCATTTAGAGGCTGCTCAATTGCAACCATCACCAGGCCACTTATATTATAAAATTAAATAAACATATAGAGAGAAAAATCATAAATATTTGAAATGTTTTCCAAAATGCTCCTAAGAAACATAGACAGGGGGCACCGTATTTCCAGAACTGGCAGTTTTCAGTGATTTTCAGAATGCCATCAAGATGGGAATTGAACAGATTTTTTTTTGTGGGGAGGAGAGGAGGGTGTTGTATTCCAGAAGGCAGAAACGTCAACAAAGAAGCCATACTTTCTACCTCCTAACTGAGGACCTAGCCAAGAGGCCTGGAAATAATTGAAGAGACTTGGAGGTATTCTTCTAGCTCTTACTGGGTGGTAATGTACAATTGAAGAGAGATGGCTCCCAGATATCCAGCACTAATTCTATAAATGGCTTCATAAGTTATAACTATCATTTTGAATAGTACCTAAAAGCCAACAAGTATAGCTTGTAAACAAGTGTAGATAGCAAGGCATGGATAACAAATGGGCATAATGTGATTCACTCGTTATTTCCTAATCTGCTGTGTTCTGGATCACCTGTAGCTCTGAGTGGACTTCAATGGCATTATGGATGACTTGTAGTAGCCCAGTACTGAGATAAGTAGCTTAAGTTGACAGAAGGATTATGTTCTCGGAATGGGAGTAAGTGGTACATAAGATGGATCTTGTAAAGACCTTCCTGGCTACAGCTGCTGTCTACTTTGAGCTGTGAGTTCAGGATGTCCCTCTAATTTCATATTAATTTCAAATTGGGATGCACAATTCCATCCAAGACCAAAGATTAAAAATCCCCAGATCTAGGGCCCTAAATAACTACAGTTACTTGATCTTGGCACAATTGACCCTGAGCTTGTTTCTCCCCACCCGAATCCAAGTAACCTTCAAATATTGGTTTCTGGCATTGAAAGCATCACGTGGACAGCCTGGGATCAAGAAGTATACTAGGTAGCATGGTGTACTGATATATTAGATCCTAAACCAATGGATAACTCAAGCATTGTTTTTATCTAAATGTTAAATGGGAGAGTAGAGGGCATTGAGCTCCAAGGCAGTCCATTAGTTCAACATCTATCCCCATCAACATTTACTGGAACTGGCCCCAGAAGAAGGAAAACCACCGTAAAAGAGTGCCATCTATGTCAAAACTGAACAGCCCTCTCTCAACAGATGGGGAGGAATACAACATCATCTATCTCATCTATCTATTTCAACAGTTCCAAGAAGACTCCACTCCACCCAGGTGACCCTGATGACACAGATAAACCTCCAGGTGACCTTAATGACTCACTAAACTAATGCAATTGACCATCAGTCTGTAAGGAGTATAAAACCTTCCATTATCCACCATCCAGTCAGAACTGAAGAAGCTTCTTGGATGAGAAGCAAAACATCTTTAAAGAAAAACCAGAAAGTCCAATTGCCTCTTGAAAAAACAATCATGACCTGGATGACTGAGAATCTCCATAGACATTGAGGACAAGGATAGATGCATCATTCCCATCTACATTCCAAAATGATAATCAAAGAGTGATCAATGTCATTTCGACACGACATTCTGACCTAAAACCCAACTGAAGCGTGTCCAAATCATAATATGTAAGTAACATATATAAATAAGATATCACCTATTCCAAGCTATTTAGCTCTCATCAGCTATCCATACCCTTACCGGGATTTGAACCTGTGCTGTATTACATATTAGGCAGTTGTGTTAGCCACTAAGCCACAAGCTCTCCTCCTTTATCAGCTTATTATATATATAATTTTCCAAATGCCAAACTTATGCAAAGGTGACTCCTCTGGTCCTCTTTATGGTGAAATAGAAATATTCATCTTAGAATCAACTTTTTTGTTGTTAGTGTTCCACTTCAAAACACTAGTTCGTTCATCTTTAAATTTCATGGCATTCCAGGGCCACGTCTAGAGTACTGTTTTCTTATAAAATTTTTCACCTGTCTTAATTTTCAGAAGTGTTTATTTTTCTGACTACATTATGGTATCTTTATTGAACAGAATGTTGCTGAAAATGATTTTTGGGCATAAATCATAGCATAATTTCCAAGGTAAATTATATCTCTACACTCCATTACTCCTTGTCCCAAGAGGAAACATCATTCTGTGCACATAACTGGAAGAATTACAGCTTCATTCATCAAAA